ACACCTATGGACACAAATACCAGGCTGAGCAGTGATATGGGTGAAGTGTTTGAAGACCCTGGCAGATACTGACGACTTGTGGGTAAACTGAACTACCTAACCATTACTAGACCAGACATCTCATTTGTGGTTAGTGTGGTAAGCCAGTTCATGCAAAAACCTTTGATTCCTCATTGGAATGCAATTCTGAGAATTGTGAGGTATTTAAAAGGGGCTCCGGGTCGCGGTCTAATATACAAGAGTGGCCGAAAACTTGAAATAGAAGGGTATTCTGATGTTGACTGGGCCGGTTCTATGTCTGATAGGCGGTCTACCACTGGCTATTGCACTTTCCTGGGAGGTAACCTGGTGACATGGAAAAGTAAGAAGCAGACAGTTGTGGCAAGAAGTAGTGCAGAAGCAGAATATAGGGCTATGGCGCACACCGCTTATGAATTAGTGTGGCTAAGGAACCTTCTACAGGAAGTAGGGTACAACATCAACACTCCAATGAAGCTCTATTTGTGACAATCAGGCTGCAGTTCATATTTCCTCTAATCCGGTGTTTCATGAAAGAACCAAGCACATTGAAGTTGATTGTCACTTTGTGAGGGAGAAGGTGCTGAATGGAGAGCTAGACACTGCATATGTTAATATAGGAAAGAGTGGACTACATATGTAACAAACTGGGAGTATATTATATATACTCACCAGCTTGAGGGGGAGTGTTAGCGTAGGGGTATTTCTGTCTTTATACCTAGATTAGTGTTGCTGATTTGTAATGTTGTGTTAGAACTAGTGCTCATTACTCAAATAATGGCACATATGTCTTTTCAATTATTTTTAATAATAAGAGTACTGTCTGGCCGACTGGGAGAAGTGACTTGAGACTTCTAGTTCGAACCAGATTTTCTCCTTTCTTTCTTTCTCTCTTTCTCCCACCTTTTTACCTCTTTCCACATAACCGATCTCAGACGGATAGAACTCCAAGGCAGGCCAAATCATAACAGAGATGAATATAAGAAAACTCATCATTGAAGGGGACTTGGAGGTGGTGGTAGGGTGGCTGAATAAAGAAGATAGCAGGTTATGGATGTACAGTAATGAGAGGAGGAAGTTTAGATGGCTGGTTCAAGAGATGGAAATTAAGATCAGCTGGGTGAAAAGATCAGCTAACTCTTTTGCTGATGGGTTAGCTAAGCAAGGAGTCGAGAGGGAGTTAATGTTTTGAGCACAAGTGTGATTTTTTCCTTTTTCTGTTCTTGGGAGCTCAAGCTCCAGTCGGAAGATAAGAAAGTTTATCTTCATCCTTGTAATCTTTTTGAGATTAATTAATGAAATGTGGTTATTGATAAAAAAGAGTGTATTCTGTTATTGGAAAAGTTAGAAGCTACCAACATTTCCAGATCCACAGAAGATGGCCTATGGTGGAAAGAATGCAGAGAAGGAAGTTTCTCAGTTAAATCCTTTTATAAGGCATTGATGAGAGATGGAATGGAGTCAGACTAGATAAAAGGAGTCTGGGGTAACCAGTACCCCCAAGGGTAGGAGCCTTTGCATGGCTGGTGGTGCATGACAGTATCCTTACTTCTATTTACCAAAAAAAAAAAAAAAACGACAGTATCCTTACTTCTAACCACCTGAAGTCCAGAGRTTTACAGTTAGCAAGCTGTTGTTTCTTATGCAACTAGAAGGAAGAAATAGTCCTTCACTTGTTCTTAGCCAATCTTAGGGGTGAGCGTTATTTGGTTAAAACTGAATAACCGAACCGAAAAATTTCAGTTTCGGCCTTTTCGGTTTTTGGTTAAATCAGTTCGGTTTTTGGAATTAGAATTTTGGTTAACCGAATTAACTGAACTTTTTATTATTATATGTAACATATAATATATAATATATTATATATTTATATATTAATATATAATATATAATATATAATATATATAATAGAGTATATATTATTAAAATTCAGTTTTAACTGAAATAACCGAAAACCGAACCAAAAATTTCGGTTTCGGTTATTTCGGTTTATTCGGTTCGGTTTTTAACCGAATAAATTGAATGCTCACCCCTACTTGTTCTTCTCATGTAGTATGGCAAACTTCATTTGGAAGTTTTTCTCCTTCCTGTTTGGAGTGAATGCCTTACATCCTTTGGTTCCAGCAGAGATATTCTCCAAATGGCCAAAACTCAGAGGAAGCAAGAAAGCTAAGATCCTTTGGTGATGTATTCCATTCGCAGTATGCTGGTCTATATGGAAAGAGAGAAACAGAAGGGTTTTTGTGGACAGGTCAAAAAGTATTGAATGCCTGGTAGCAGCAGTGGGGAACCTGATTGCAAATTGGGCTCTTAGACTTCCAGATTTTGATCAAGTGAACAAAGCTGATCTATTTAGAGAATCTCTGGAGCACTCTAGATTTGCATCCTTGTAATAGTGGTTCTTTTTCAGTTTGATTTCTGATGTGTATTTGGTTTGTCAACTTGACAACCATTGCTTATGAGATGTGCTGCCTTTTTCAGTTTAATGAAATTTCCTTTTTATCCTTCAAAAAAACCCCACATTCTCCTGAAGTTCAACTCCAGTTTTCCACCATCTCCCCCCACCTGAATCCTTGAAATGAAATCTATCCTTCTTGCACTAGCATAGGCATGAAAAAAGGCTGTATTTTTGTGACCTGCTCTTAACTAAGATAATATGGAGTTTTGTCTCCAGCTCTCCTCTTCTCTGTGAATTAGATTTTTTTAACTCAAACTCCAACCTTTCTCTTTCCACTCCCTTGAGAGGGAGCCCACCTCCTCCAGCCTGTCTAAGCTGGCCATTTTCTCTAATATTTCCTTTTTCCTATTCCCCACATTACCAAAAACCCCTACATTCCACTTATTTATTTCCTCCTTCAGAAGATGCAGTTTCCTAATCAGCTTGAAACCTGCAGTTCCTTCCACTTGCAGTCCTCCCCATTACTCTTTCAGCCAATCCAAAAAGTCTGGATGGTCCAACAACATATTTTCGAATTTAAATGGTTTTGGACCTTAAACCACTGAAAATTGTCTCAACATCACTGGCTTATGGTTTGACATGATAAAAGGCAGAACTTCTTGGATCAAATCACCTACGTGTTCCTCCCAATCTCTAGAATATAGAAATCTGTGCAGCCTTCTTAAAATAGGTGGAGATTGCCTGTTCTTCCGTGAATCTACAGCCACTCAGAGGAGGATCAATTAAACCATTTCTCCTGGTAAAATCCTAAACCTCCTCATACGTTGCCTTTCACTTCCATCTCTCCCCCCTTTCATTTCCCCCAATTTTCTGACAAAATATCATTGTATATTTCCAGTTTTCCACATATTTTAAAATATTTCCACAATATCTATACTTGTTTTGATCAGCAGAAGATAACTTATTTTATTAGAGTTAATTAAAGCAGTAGATAGTACAATTTGATAACAGGGATGCCATCCCCAAGAAACTTTCAAGTCACAGTTACAAAGAAGTCCCAAAAAAGCTAACAGGTTCCCAGCAGCAGTACATCAAGTTTCAACTTTGCCCAAAACAAACTAGGTCCATCAACTCCTTGCTTTGCCAAGATATCTGCCAATCCATTTGTAGTCCTTCCTATCTATTCAAAAGTAGAGTTGAATCTCTTTGCTAGGGTGTCAATTTCCCTAAAAGCATGTCTATATTTCCAAGGAGCTGATCTGAAATTCTTGGACCAAGAGATGGCTAACTGAGAATCTCCTTCAACTTCCAATTCCCTTACTCCAATTTGTAGTGCAAGCCTCAATCCATGTAAGAGAGTCATAATTTCAGCCTGGAATGAATCTCCAAAGCCGATTGGTCCTGAAAACAAGGCCACCACCACTTCTTGGTGGTTTCTAAAAGCACCTATTCCTGCCCTTCCTGGATTACCCAATGCTACCATCAAAATTCAGCTTTAGTTTGTTAAAAGATGGAGGTTTCCAAACCATTCTTACACTTTCTGCAGGTCTAACTGTTCCAGACCATTTTTACAATGTTTCCATCTGACATTTCCGACATTTCTGACATGTCTTATATTTGGATGACCGGCATTTCCATTGACACTGATATTTTAAACCATGACCATAACCACTTCCCCATCAATGCTTTATTAAACACTCTCCCCCTTAAATCCCTAAACCTCCTTCACATGCACTTCATTAGGAGGGCCAAATTCTACTACAGAATTTTAACTTACTAAGCTGATTAGCACAGAAAACCCATCTCTATTTTACAAGTGGAACTTATTTTTCTCAACTCTCCCACCTCACCTCCATTCCAAAGGAAATACTTTTGGTTTTTCTCAAGCCATTTAACCACTGAAACTGGCATCTTGAAGAAGGATGCAAATAAATGGGAGATACTTTCCATGGCCTTTTTTGTAAGAGTAATGCACTGACTACAATATAGATACCTCCTTTAAATCTCTGATGTGAACATGGTTAAGTCCCAATATGACATGCCAAGATAAATGTACATGTTCTTCATTAGTAGATCTCATGACCTGTAACATTAACAAGAAGTGATCCACAATCCAATATTCTGGATGGTTTGATCAATGTTTAAGTGGGATATGTTGTATTGGAGTCACAAACCAAGTGGGATATTTGTATCATGCTTCAAGAAAAGAAACTTCCTACACTCAATTAGTAAAAACTACTTTTTCCTACCCTACTCTAACAATTTTTTTTTTTTTGAATAAGCAAGGTATTGTATTTCATTACTGTGAATAAAAAAGTATGAGCCCATGTACAATAAGGACTTGTATGATGGCAATGTACAAAATTATGACAGATTTGAACTCCTGTTTACAAAAAAAAGAGATTCGTGATAAAAAAGTAGAATATGGGATCCCCTGAAAGGGCTCACAAACTGCCAGCTAAAAGCCCACAATAACATGCTTTTCAACATATTCAGCACTTACCCTATTCTAACAAAATGGTTGTCAATAGCTATTTAACAAAACCATTTTTTTTGAAGTAATGCTATTTATTGTTGTGGCCTGCAGTTGGAGGTCTTCTAAATGCTACATTTGGCAATGCTACGGAAATGATAATTTCTATCTATGCTTTGAAGCATGGAATGATAAGAGTTGTTCAGCAATCACTATTGGGTTCAATCCTCTCAAATATGCTGTTAGTGCTTGGTTGTGCCTTTTTCTGTGGTGGATTTATTCATCATGAGAAGGTTCAAGAGTTCAATAAGGTAAATGAGCATCCAGCATTCAGTTGAGGCTGTTCCTTTTATGGAATTAATTATTTGACTTGCATATCATCCTAATATAATAGAGATACAATTGAAGTGAAATAATATTCATGACAGGCAGCTGCTGTAGTGAACTCAGGATTACTTTTGATGGCTGTCATGGGTATAATGTTTCCAGCTGTTCTTCACTTCACTCGTACAGAGGTGCATTTTGGGAGGTCAGAGCTGTCACTTTCAAGATTTAGCAGCTGCATTATGTTAGTGGCATATGCTAGCTACCTATTTTTTCAGCTGAAGAGTCAGAGGAATCATTATAATCTTATTGGTGAAGTGAGTTCATTTTTTTAAACCATTTTATATCTGTGCTATTTTTCGCCTGAGGTCTCAAGCTGCTTTATGATCGAACCAAATTATATTAAGCAAATAGACTGTCCTTGATAATTGGTTTAATCTTATGCTTTTCATCTGCTTGTGGTTGGCTGCAATCAAAAGCTAAGGCTGTGTTTGCTTGCACTGGTGTAAATGCATGGGGGTGCAAGTATGTAGTGTGAAATTTTGTTTACTTTTGCTTCAGAGTTCAGATTTGACCTTGTCTTGTTTGTTTGTGAAAAGTAAAATAATGTGGTCCCACTTTATATGGAAGAGAATGGAGGTAGGAGGGTTATTTGTTTGGGAGTGAGAGAGGAAGCAAGATAGTGTGGTCCTGCTGTATATGAGAGAGAATTGAGGTAGGAGGAAGGTGGTGCCAATTTTACATCAGTTTTGAGATGCAAAACTTACACTGCTAGTGAGTGCAAATGAGGCAAAGAGTACAATTTTGTACGAGGTAGGAGTGCAAATCATGGTTATAAACAAATAGATGCAAAACTGAACTGAGTGCAAAATTTCTATCTGGTTCAGATTTGTACTGCAACCAAATGCAGCCTTAGGGACCATGTTATCTAAGATCTCTGATTAGAGAGGTATTAGCTTTGCCCTCCAATCTGAACTGTTTGTTCACACTGAATTCCCAGTTTTGTCAACAACTTAGCAGATAATCTACTGAGGATGGGAGTCAAGAAGAATGAACTAGAATGGGGAATGCCTGAACTGGGTGAAAATTTATAATTGTTTTGCAAAACTTACTGTGTTGGTATTGCCAATGTCTATATTGTTTTTTCTGTCCTACTCTTCCAAGATGATTGGGTAGTGTTTCTATTTTATACTTGATTTTTAACCAACAGTTACTGATCAAATATAAAGGGAACATCTGTCTGATGATTAGGTCTAGTCATAATATATAATGTCAATCTCTAATTCAATTTCTAAAAGGTGCATAATTGATTTAAGTGGTTTTGATTCCAAGAAACTATCTCTTGAACTTAAGGCTCTGTCTGGGAAGGGTACAAATGCAAATTTGTACAGTGTAAATACAAGGTTTTGCACTATACATATTTGTATTTGTACTCCTTCCAAACTGAGCCTAAAGGACAAATTCCCTTGCTTTTCTCTCTTTGGTGTCTAATGCATTTAATCCATAGTTGTTTCTTGTTAAAAGTTGTTTGCTTGGGGAGACTACTTTGGGAAAGGAAAAGGATCAAAATAGGGGAACACATATGGGGATGGAGATGAAGGGAGAAGAAACTAGGTTCCTGTTTGCCACGAGATGCAGACGAGAGATGGAGCTTGAAGCAAAGAGATTCTTACTTGAGGAATGCAGAATCAGTGGTCAACGATCCTTGAAGATAGTTGGAGAAGTTATGTCTGAAAGGCTTCATTGATGGAGCAACCAACTCAGTGAAAAGGCCCTGGGGCCTGATGGCTTGTGGAGGAAGATTTGTCTACTGACTGAAACAGAAACATTGCTATAAATGGAGACAAGGCCCTGGAGCCTGATGGGTTCAACTTCTTGTTTATCAAGGCATGCTGGAATTTGCATGAAGAAGACTTTATATTGATGTTTAAAGAATTCCAGGAGGAAAAAGTATTGGAGAGGATGGCTAATGCTACATTTATATCCTTAATTCTGAAGAAAGATGGAGTTGTGAAGTTGAAAAAGCATATGAAAGTGTTATCAAAGAGGTTAAAAATGTGGTGGCTGAAACCCAAGAGCTGTGGAGTTGAGATGTACATCTCCAATCAGTTTAATAAGCAGTCCGTACAAGATCATAGCCAAGTGTTATCAAAGAGGTTAAAAAAGTGGTTCATGAAGTGGTTTGGTGAAGCCCAAATGGCTTTTGTGGAAGGTAGGAAGATTTTGGATGGAGTTCTGATGGCTAGTGAATGCATTGATTCAAGGTTAAGAAGTGGAAGAGCAGGTTTGGTATGTCAGATTGATATTGTGAAAGCATTCAATCATGTGGAATGTTTTTTTTTTTTGGAAGAGATACAAAGGTTAATGGTGTTTGGGAAAAGTGGAAGAGCTGGGTGTTTGCTGGTGTTTCTTCAGTCTCGTTTTCATTCCTCTTAAATTGAGTTTATTCGGAGTTTTTTAAGGCTTCTAGGGGCCTTAGGCAGGAGGATCCAATCTCCCCTTTGCTTTTTGTGCTGATAATGGAAGTACTAAGCCTATTGTTGGACAAAGTGTGCAGCTGGGTTGATTGAAGGTTTTAAGGTTGGGTCTCATCTGCAATATGCAGATGATTCTCTCATCTTTATGGATGCATCAGCGGATCAGGTTCTGAACTGGAGAGCAATTCTGGCAAATTTTGAATTGCTAACAGGTTTGAAGGTGAATCTGTCCAAAAGTGTTCTGATAGGATTGGGGATCTTCCATTCTCTTATTTGGGCTTACTGGTTGGACATAAATCAGCTTCAAGGGGGGGGGTATGGAAGCCAATTGTAGAAAGAATTGAGAGGAGATTGGATGGTTGGAAAGCAAAACATCTTTATTTTGGGGGGAGGATAACACTAATTAGAAGTGTCTTGCAGGCTTGCCAACACACTATTTGTCATTGTTTTGGGTGCCATCACGAGTTGCAGAGAGAGTGGAGAAAATTCAAAGGTATTTCTTATGGGAAGGAGTGGGAGGGGGGAAGGAGGTAAGAAATTTCATTTGGTGAAATGGGAAAAAGTTTGTAGAACAAAAGGGGGAGGGGGTTTGGGGTTTAGGAGGATGAGGGTGTTTAATAAGGCTTTGCTTGGGAAGTGGTTGAGCTGATTTGGGCTGGGAAAGGAAGATAACTCTTTATGGAGGAGGTTGGTGGTGGGGAAATATGGGGTAGTGAGGTTTGGTTGGGAATCAAGGGAAGTGAATTCCTCTTATGGGGTGAGTGTTTGGAAAGGGATGTGGAATTTAATCAGGATTTTAGGAGCCTGACAAGTTTCTGGGTAGGGGATGGAGCAAGGATTAGATTTTGGGAGGATGATTGGAGTGGGGTTGGAAAACTTTGTGAGAGGGGAGCAGTTCGTTTGGTGCCCAAGATTCAGGAGGCCATTGCTTGACAAGGTGATTGAAGAGTTCATTGTATCATTGGTTAAGCTGGAAAATGCGGGAATTTCAGACCATTCAAATTGATAAAAAAAAATTCAGACCATTCAAGGAAAGAATTGTGGTGGAACTGAAGGAGTGTTCAAATGGGAAATTTTCTGTGAAATCATTTTACTTGGCACTGTGCAGGGACCAATTAGGTTCAGATCAGATTTGGAGGGGTATGGGGTAATCCGGTTCCTCCTAGGGTAGAAGCCTCAGTATGGCTGGTTGCAATGGACAGTGTCTTGACAGTGGATTATTTAAAGAACAAAGAGTTCAGTATGGCCGGTATGTGTTACCTGTGCAGAGAACATGAAGAGATGGTCAGTCACTTATTTGTTTCTTGCAGAATCTCTGGGTTTATTGGGGTAAGAAATTTTCAACCAAGGTGTCCTTCAGAGATCTTCTCATCTTGGTCAATGCTCAGTGGTAGCAAGAATGCCAGGATAATTTGGAGCTGTTTGCCTTTTGTTGTCTGCTGGAATATTTGTAAAGAAAGAAATAGATTGTTCAAGGATAATGCCTGGAACATGGAAAGCATCGTGGCAGCCATTGGCAAATCTGTGTCAGATTGGGTCCTGGTCTTACTAGAATTTGAGCAAGTAAATAAAGAGGACCTAGGGGACAGTCTTGGGGAAGTTTTGGCATTACAAATATGTAACTTGGATGATATGTTTTGATTGTCGTTACAAATATGTTTTGATTGGGTTTTCTCATTACCAAACCCCTTATTTGGTAATGTTGTTCATTCATCAATCCTACTAAAATATCTTCTTAAAAAGCAATTAAAATTATAAAATCATTATTTTTTGTGTTAGAACTAAGAATTTAAGACCCTAACGTGGACTTGTTTGGGCCTGCCTTGAGGGGCGTGGCACAAAGGCGGCTCATAGAATCGGGAATGTAATATGTTTTACATCACATTAGCTACTTTAAGTAATGCAATTGAGGAAAAAAAAGAGATTGTGGGTTTCACATGCTTGAAAATTTTTTATATGTTTGATTTTATTTTTAAATTCACATTTGAATATGTTTTACATGTTATGTTTATGTATTTTAATTTTAGATAATGGGTTTCTTAAAACATTTATTTTAAAATTTAAAGTTTATATTTTTTATTAATAGTATGTTTAATATTTTTTATTTTATGAATTTTTTGGCATTTTTTAAATTTCTGATTTTTTTTGGTTTTTTTAGCATTTTTTTTTAAATTTTTGCACCTTGCGCGCCTCGCCTTGTTCCTTGTGCTTTTAAAACGCTGGTCTCAACCTGTTTTCTGTAGGTTTGTGTATCTTTCCCACTCAGATGTCTCTAGGTGATCAATTTCATGCCACAAAGATTTCAAAGTGGAGAAGTAAATTGAGACTGGTTTCTCTCATTGCTTAAGATTGTTTACTTCACATTTCAGCTCATAAGCCCTAGCAACATTATGTGGTTGGGAGTAAGTTTCTTTCATGATGTCCTAAATCTCCTTAGCAGTTTTTGCCCACAAGCAATTTCGGTTAATGTGAGGCTGCATAGAGTTGCACAGCCAAGTCATGATCAAATAGTTCTCCTGAACCCATTTGGCATATGTTGGGTCTTCCTTGGTTGGTTCCTTTACATCCTCCATCACATAGCTCAGTTTTCCTCTACTCCCAATAGCCGCCATGGATGAATGGGCCCATTCCAAGTAATTTGATCCGTCAAATTTGACACTGGTAATCTGAGACGTGTTCTCAGTCATGTTTCCAGTACTACCAGCCCCCAAAACACTTTCCCCTTGATTTTTAAACTCCATTCTTGCCATCTCTTTCAAGAAATTGATCAAAAGGGAACCCCTTTAATGCTGAAACAGATGTAACTACACCGAGAAATTGCTAACAGCCGACCTATAAGGTTGAAATAGGTCTGGCAATCACCCAGAAATATTGGAACAGGTCTAATAATCTCCCAGAAACTAATATCACTCAATCTGAAGTACTGAGACAGGTCTAACTGTTACCCAGAAACTGATATCAGTCATAAATTTAGGGTTTAAAACTGAGAACTGGTCGTAGGTCAAGAAAAAACACAAAAAAAATTCAGAGAAAATAGAAAACTCCCAGCCACTCCTTCCAGATTACTCAAATCAAATTCTGATTGAAGTCGATCTCAAAAACAAACAGAAACTTACTCAGAAAAGTCTGGCCGCCACCTCCAATCCACAGTCTGAACCCTAATCTTGAACTTTCTTCCTTTCTTCTGATTCTTCCTGATCACTGGACACCTTCCAAGGTTCTACAATCCCTTGGGCATATGTTGCACTCTACCAGCAATCTCCAAGAACCAGCCGATTGACTTATCTTTATTAAAACTGCCAACCCTAGGAAGTTCTCATTTGCAGTCGGCCTGGTTAGACTCGCATGAGAAGCCCTAGGTTGGCTCTGATACCAACTTGTCTAGTAAGACTGCAATCAGTCTTAGTTTAGATGTGAATTAAACAAGAAAGAATCAGAGAATAAAAGAAGAAGAAGAGAAGAAGAGAAGGAGAAAAGAGAACACAAAGAGGAGAAAAATTCAAAGAAGAGTGTGGGTCATAGCTGGGGTTGTCACCCCACTCTACTATTTATATAATTATATTTATGATTTAAAACAAGGTAAAAAACCAGAGTTAACCCTACTGCTTACATAAGCTAAAAGATTACAGAAAATAACTATCAACTAATCCAGCTAACATAGTAACAGCAACATAAGCAACATAAACAGGCATGCAGCAGTGGGGACCACGTTATTGTTCTACATCTCTACAGATTAATATATACATGTTATCATTATAGGAAGGAGACCGTAATGAAGAAGATTATGGTGAAGAGGATCCTCCTGAGATTTCTCAATGGGAAGCAATTGGATGGCTTGCAGTTTTGACAGCATGGATTTCCATTCTTTCTGGCTACCTTGTTGATGCAATTCAGGTAACATATGCTTTGACTCAGGATCCATCTTGTTGTAATTCATGTTAATTTCTTTTTTCTGTGCTATATATTATTGTTTTTCTTGTTGTCATTATTTAGATTCTACTTTTTCACAGTCAAGATTATCACTCGAAGTACCCCATTATGATCGTTGTTTTTCTCTTATTATCCCTTTTTTCTTTTGGTACATGTATACCTCTTGTATATAGTTTCTTTTTTGCATGTGTGTATCCAAAACAAGTGCATGGACATTGTTTTCCATGTTTTCTATGACAGTGTGCTCACTCCATCTATATGCCTTTTCATTTACCTTGCTTATCCAGTAGCTATTGTCTTTAGCTTATCTGTAGGAGTAGGATCTGTATGAAACCATATAGGATATAACTTCTTATGCACCTCGACTAACAGGTACGTCATCAGTAACAGTAACCTGGAGTTTTAATACAAGTCTATAGACTTGCATACCTCTGCAGAAGGGTCCTAATTTAGACCTGGTTGATGGAAGGCAAGGTTGATGGGTAGCCTTGCTTCATAAACCAGCAAGCATGCTCTGAATTTAGGGGAAGATCCAAAGGCTAGTTGGTGGTTTTCTTCTATTAGCAAAAAACTACTAGAAAATAACAAAGAGAAAAGAAGAAATCACATGTTTCTCCTGCACTGGTTTCAAGAGGAGAAAAAGGGAAACATCACCTGGCCCACCAACAATTATCCTCCACTCCACAATGCTACCAATGTGCTAACACCTTAAAGAGATGACAGTAAAAAAGGCCACTCCACCATTTACCTAAACCCCTCAGAACAAGCACCCTTGGCAAATCTAGTAAGTAAACCTATGCTGCTGTGCAATCCTATCACAAGCTAAGGAATCTCCAAGAACAAAGCAAGACCCTCCCACATTGGTTTCCAAAAATAATGGAACCAATTCACTCTAAAGATGGAAATCACATGAAGATCAGTGAACGCCACCAACCTTTCACCCACTCTCTTTCAAATAAAAACTTTTCCCACCCATTACTACTAAACACTACTAGCAGGATTCTTTAGATATGGATTTGACAGCAGAGCTAGAGTTCGAGTGATCCAATAACCAGTCACAAGCAAGAAGAAAAACATTACAGATGTCTAGTTGCTCAACCACCACCCCGAAGAGTCAAATATACTCTCTTATGCTTAAAATCTATACAATTACAATATTGCCCTCATAGGGCAATAAGAGAGAAACAAATGCTATAGTCCAACTAGGCCATACTGTTACAGCATATAAAATGCATCTTAGTTCTCAGATTCTCTAAGCTCCCCTTCAAACTGATGCGAAGTCATAAGCATCTATTTGTCCACAAGAAAGAGATGTCTGGATTGAGTCATATCCTTGGTGAAGATGTCAGCGCCATTTGCAAATTAGAGGCTATCACTTTGTTAAAGATATCAACAATTTGTGGACCAAAATGAACCTGAGTATGATGATCCTTGTGGAATATGGATCTCTAACAAATGGCAATCCACTTCTATATGTTTAGCATGTTCTTTAAATACTGGATTTGACAAAATGCAGATCACTCTCATTCTATTACAAAGAGTGATGCATTGGTTAACCATCATACAATCAAAACAAAATAAAAAAAATAATTTCTTTTGAATTCTTCCTAGATGTAAGAAGAAGAAAGAAGAAAAAAATTATAGAAGCAGAGACTATGTAACTCCAAAATGTAAAAACATGAAAGTTAATTATTTCTAAAATAAAACTTGGTTAATGTTAACTATRCTATATTAGTTTAAAAAAGTAAATGTAGAGAAGATGGGCCAAATGGCCCATAGGCTATTTATCCTTTTTATCTTTTATGTTCTTTGYTGTAATGGGCCTTAATCTGGGCTTTATTCTTTCTTATGTTATGTCTTTTTAATTTTCTGCCCAACTAGGGGCTTCTTTGTAAATTACTAAAGTTTAACTTAATGAAATAGAATTAAGGGAGTAA